ATAAGTCTCAGGTGTCCCCAGAATGTGTCTGTGAAGTTTCAGCTCAAAATACTCCACAGATCATTTATTATATCATTTTGAAAATGCCTATTTGGAGTGGAAGCAGAAACACGCTGGTTTTCGTGCCTATCTCTTTAAATGCAAATGAGCTGCTGCTCCCCGCCCCCTTTTCCAGAATAGAGCTGCGCCATTACAGCTTGTATCTCAGATCTCTGCCAAAAAACATCTGTTTGGTTTTGATTATGTCTATCGTGTTGAAATCATGCGTTTTAAAGCCATATCAGTTTAAACTTCTGATACAGGGTTTTCTGAGTGCACAGAAAGCATCTGTCACACGACATACGAGTACTAAACTAAGTTCTCTTTCATGTCTTATTGCGCTTAAACTGCCAAATACACACAAGTCTGTTAAAAACACACGAGTTACAAAAACAGTGGGTTATGTCTGTGAAGGTAAACAGCAGGGAAATAAATCGCATGTTTATTTTAGATCTGTGTGGCAGCAGCAATATACAGTAAATAAATCAATAAATGCACTGCTCTGTCGTCTCCTCTGAGGCTGGGACTCTAAACAGTGTTCTGTGCTCGTCTGTGACAGAACAGTTAGCATGCTTTGCTCAAACTTTCGCCGCGGCGTTAGAACTGCTACACCGTTGTCGCTTGTGAAAACACAATGACGGCGTTGTGGGTGGAAATGTGTAGATTAAGGGGTGGTAATATTATAACAACATCCCTTCACTACGTCGCCGAGGGAGCGAAAGCTGAGCGGCTGTTTTTTTCACAAGCTTGCAGAGAAAGCCTTACCAAAACAAAGTTACTGGGTTGCCCTTTTTCAAGTTTTCTGTGATGCACTGGGGACCTGATTATAGTCAGATTTTCATGATATTTCACCTTTAAAACACTGCTTACATTAAGAACACACAATGTTTATTTTTCCTCTTCTAAAGGAACGGTGGCAGGAACTTCTCTGGCTGTGTAAACAGTGGCATGAGATGTTGAGTTAACAAGCGTAACCCAACCCTAACCTAGAGTTGAACTGCAAGCGTGACCTCATTACGGTCAACACATCCGTTATTAATCACTTTTACATTCAGTGCTAAGAATGTCAGCCTTGTTCAGTGCTGAAAGCATGTGTTCTAGCGGTGAGGGACAGATGATCACACAGCAGCTTTAAAGCGAGATGAGGCTCTCTCTGCAGACGGTCCAGGTCAGTGTCATGGGCTTCTGCAATGGGCTTTCAAGCATTGATGGCAAAGAACAGCAAAGAGAAATGCAAACAAACACCAAACGAGAGACAGCACCACACCACACAGACGGAAGGAGCGGCGCATGCGGACGATGATGAGCGCGGGCCGGGTTCAGATCGGGACATGAGTGAAATAAAGCGTGTACTTGGACTGAGTGTGCTGCGCTGCTCGGGGGTGGGGGGGGCCGCCGCACGGCATGCTGGGACCTGATGCTGCCGCAATGACACTCAGCGCAGAGGGGAGAAAATAAACGCTCAGACCAGAAACAGGCCGATCCCTACAAAACCACAGAACCGCATGGGTACCAGCGGCTCACGCTCGGGATGGGTTCGTCTGAGTCGGAAGGGTGGAGCGGGTTCTGAGACGCAGCTTGAAGCGAATCCTGAGCAGTGGTCGACCGATATATCGCCAAGGCCGATATTTGGCATTTTTCACATATTGGCATCGGCCGATAACTTTTTCTGTTTGGCCGATGTGTTTGAGGCGGGACTTACAGTATATTTTACACACAGTGCTCACATTCTCCTCTTGTTCGCCGTCGTCGTTAACAGTTCTGTTTAATACGGGTAATAATCAGATAGAACTGTTTAACAACGGGATTAAAATGTATTAAAAAAATATTGTAACGATTGCTTTTATATTATTAGTAATAGAAAGGCAAAAATTATAATACTTTCTCGTTTGCCGTCAGCATTCAGCAAATACGCATTTATATAATTTAAACAAATCTACAAGCGTAACCCAACCCTAACCTAGAGTTGAACTGCAAGCGTGACCTCATTACGGTCAACACATCCGTTATTAATCACTTTTACATTCAGTGCTAAGAATGTCAGCCTTGTTCAGTGCTGAAAGCATGTGTTCTAGCGGTGAGGGACAGATGATCACACAGCAGCTTTAAAGCGAGATGAGGCTCTCTCTGCAGACGGTCCAGGTCAGTGTCATGGGCTTCTGCAATGGGCTTTCAAGCATTGATGGCAAAGAACAGCAAAGAGAAATGCAAACAAACACCAAACGAGAGACAGCACCACACCACACAGACGGAAGGAGCGGCGCATGCGGACGATGATGAGCGCGGGCCGGGTTCAGATCGGGACATGAGTGAAATAAAGCGTGTACTTGGACTGAGTGTGCTGCGCTGCTCGGGGGTGGGGGGGGCCGCCGCACGGCATGCTGGGACCTGATGCTGCCGCAATGACACTCAGCGCAGAGGGGAGAAAATAAACGCTCAGACCAGAAACAGGCCGATCCCTACAAAACCACAGAACCGCATGGGTACCAGCGGCTCACGCTCGGGATGGGTTCGTCTGAGTCGGAAGGGTGGAGCGGGTTCTGAGACGCAGCTTGAAGCGAATCCTGAGCAGTGGTCGACCGATATATCGCCAAGGCCGATATTTGGCATTTTTCACATATTGGCATCGGCCGATAACTTTTTCTGTTTGGCCGATGTGTTTGAGGCGGGACTTACAGTATATTTTACACACAGTGCTCACATTCTCCTCTTGTTCGCCGTCGTCGTTAACAGTTCTGTTTAATACGGGTAATAATCAGATAGAACTGTTTAACAACGGGATTAAAATGTATTAAAAAAATATTGTAACGATTGCTTTTATATTATTAGTAATAGAAAGGCAAAAATTATAATACTTTCTCATTTGCCATCAGCATTCAGTAAATACGCATTTATATCATTTAAACAAATCTTTGAATGGCTAATGAACATTTAATTTCGCAAACTTAGTCGAATCCAGCTGTGAGATCTTGTGACGTGTGCATGTGTATCTTGCATGATCGCGTGTTCTCTGCGTGACTTTCGGTGCTAATTGAAAGCTTTAAACGTTAAATTCGTGATTTCAAATTATCTATTTACGCACGGTCATATTCATGTCATTTTCACTGTGTGCTGTGTGTAAAATGAGTGTTACTTTGGCTTTATTTGACAAAACATCATTCCCAATGCACACAAACTTCCCAGAATACTGAGTGCTCTGCTGGTTACGGTGTTTACTACCTTTTTAATTATATTTTTATTAAATATTTATTTATTTGTGAAAAATACTGTGTCATCTAAAGTACAAGTATGTTTATTTTACAAATGTATTTTTTTATCCATTTTCAAATGATTTCAAATTTCTTAAATATTAATGAAAATAAAATTATATTAGTCACCCTGCTTTCCAAGACATCGGCAGTCAAAAAAACCAATATCGGTCGCGCACTAATCCTGAGCACAGAAGTTTATTACGTGACCAGACGTTCTTTACACAGCCTGCTGCTAGTATTTATTGAGTTGCTGTGGTCTAGAAGAAAAATGTCTGAGTATTGTCTCTGCATGAGATGCTCTGGGATTCCTGTGTTCCTCCACAGCAACATTAAACACTGGTTCTCACGCTCGCGGTCCAAACGCAGTCTGTCTGTACGAGAGATTTAAAGCGACATTTCACCCAAAAATTAACGTTTGCTGTTAATTTACTAACTCTCAGGCCATCCAAGATGTAGGTGACTCGTTTTCTTCAGCTGAACCCGTGCTCCTTGGTGACTCATAACATGCAAGTCAATGGGTACCGGCACTTTGAGAATAAAAAAAGCATATCAAGGAACACAATATGAATCCCTGTGGCTCCTGATGATATATTGATGTCTTAAGAAGTGAAACGATCGGTCTGTGCAAGAAACTGAACATTATTTATGACATTATTATCTGTAATCCAGAGCCCCAGGCAAATGTGTAAATCTGATTCTTGTCCATTAACTGGTTCTGTTGGTTAGTTCGTTTCAATGAACTGGTTTAATTCATTAGTTTGTTTATGTAATCACACAATGACATCACGTATACGCAATTATATTATTAAAGCAGCCAATAATAATGTGAAACGTGGATGTTTTATAGTTTAAAGCATATAAAGTCAATAAACTAGTCTTCATCAGCTCAGCTTTTTACATAAACCATGAGAAACCATGAAAACGTTCATTTCAGCCCTTCATTCGAGCTCTCGGTTCACACATGCTCATAGCAGCGGCTCATCGGTCTTCGGTCCGAGTCGAACTGTTTCCTCGGTTCAGTGACTGCTGGAGGAACTGGAGCTGAATCCGTTCATTCATCACAGGATCAGATACGCAGATGTTTCATCTCATTTCCAGTCGCAGTGACTGTCAGGCGTCTGGAAGTGAGTTTTGATCGAGTAACTTGTAGATCTGTGCTGCTCGAGCCGCGAACTGATTCAGACGATTTGATGAACTGGTTCAACTAGTTCACTAAAAAGAGCCAATTCAGAATAATGATTCGTTCGTGAACCGGACATCATTCTGGATGCTTTGTCTGAGGCTCTGGATTACAGGTAATAATGCTGTAAATAATGTTCAGTTTCTTGCACAGACTGATCGTTTCACTTCATATCGTCAGGAGCCGTGTGTATTAATTCTGTGTTGCCTGATATGCTTTTTTTGACTCTCAAAGAGAGAGCTGCATTTCGTTGCATACAGCTGACTTGCATGTTATGAGTCACCAAGGAGCACGGTTTCAGCTAAAAATCTTCTTTACTGTTCTACTGAAGAACATGAGTCACCTACATCTGGGATGGCCTGAGAGTTAGTAAATTAACAGCAAATGTTCATTTCTTTAAGCGGCAGTATCATTTCGCCGTGATTCGTTCCTCTGTTGTTTACGCAAAGCGTTGCGCGCGAGAGTACAGGAGGTCTAGAGACACAGTACTCAGTCACTACAGCTAATTAAATTACGTAACCCACATCTACCTCTCGCTCCAAACGACCTCCTCAGCGAGGCTGCAGGCAACAGAGAACAGTGAAACAAGACTAACAATGGTTAAACGTGAACAGAAGTGGAGTGAAACCTGATTCACAACCAATGACTGTACGAACATGAAAACAGCATCACATTTCTTGGGGAAAACTGCAATGAAAGCCAACAGTGTAAAAGAAGAGATGAGGAGACACTAAAACAGCAGTGACCAAAACCTGCTCAATCATTCCTGCAGTGATAAATAACCACAAAACATAAGCTCGTGTAACTGAATCTGCTGTTGATCTCGTCCTAATTCTAGGAGGATAACAAGAAACAACCCATTTTTGGACCTAGACAAAACACGTCATCTAAAATAATGCAGTTTTATGAATACTAATAATAAGCTCTTTATGCTAGATCAGGCTTTCTGCAAGGTAAATTTAAGACTTAAGACCTTTTTAAGACCAAGTAAAGAAAATATCTTTGCTCCCAAAAAGTAGAATATGGAAATAAGTTAACTTTTACTGCACTTCTGATCACACTGGCCAAGAACAGTGCTGTTCTTCCTTATATTGTCTTATTTTGCAGAGCAAACGTCTAAAGATTCCTAAATCAATTTACATTTACTTGAAAAGCAAAATGACTTGATGTGAAGTCTTGTTTTATGAGACACTTATCCAAACGAAGTGAGTTTATGATTGAGTTTAAGACAAGAACAAATATCTGCCAAAGGTTTCAGAAAAAAAAAAAACTTAATTCAGAGAAAACAAGTTTTCATTCCACATTGACAGATATGTTCCTATTTTAAACAAACAAATTTTGCTCAATTTTGTAAACATATATTAATTTAAGTATGTCAAACAAGACAAAAACACCGAGTAAGATATTAGGTTGTTTTTTTTGCAGTGCATGTGTCATTTGATGCCAGTACTTTCTGCTATTCAATTTAGATCCAAAAATTAAAAATGCATTGCAAGTGGATGTTTATGCACCCTGATCAATGAACTGCACTATATGTGTCGCTGGGGTATATTTGTAGCAATAGCCAACAATACATTGTATGGGTCACAATTATCCATTTCTCTTTTATGCCAAAAATCATTAGGATATTAAGTAAAGATCATGTTCCATGAAGATATTTTGTAAATCTCCTACCGTAAATATATCAAAACTTAATTTTTGATTAGTAATATGCATTGCTAAGAACTTAATTTGGACAACTTTAAAGATGATTTTCTCAATATTTAGATTTTTTTGCACCCTCAGATTCCAGATTTTCAAATATTGTCCTATCCTAACAAACCATACATCAATGGAAGATTATTATTCAGCTTTCAGATGATGCATCAATGCATCAATTTCACTGGTTTTGGTCACACATCATCGTCACACTCCTCTGTTAGAGTGATGTGTAATGTGAACGGTGTCAGGGCGAGGGTTACCTGATCGCACCAGGCGCTCCAGCTTCTCCGTGCTGGGGGACGGGACTCTGGCGCGAGGGCTGCCGGGGTTGGAGCTCTCGGATCCGGCGTCGGTGCTCAGAGAGTCGTCGTGGTTGGGCATGAGCAGCTCTCGGACGCAGCGGTGGCACACACTGTGCTGGCAGGGCAGCACCAGCGGCTGTGTGAAGAGCTCCTCACAGATGGGGCAGATCAGCTCCCGCTCGATGCTCTTCATCGGCACCTGTCGAGAAACACAGCTTCAGCAGGAGCCCGAACACGCGCGCGTTTGGGAAGTCGCTTCCATTCTTCACTTTCGTCTTTCTGTTCCGAGCGTCAAAACTACGTTAAACTCTGTCGCAAGGACGAACGAACGTCTACAAGGCATGGTTTATTTTAAAACACATTTTAAAAAACATATTAAATGAATTCTAAACAGTCGGTTCAACTTTCCCTCAGCAATCAACAGTGGTTTCATTCAGGATTCGAACCGAACTTCGAACTTACTAGCAGCGAGCTTCTTCTGGACATCGCGCGCAGAATGAAGGACAAACTCCGCGATCCGGATCCAACTTCGCAAATGAGAGACTCGCGCAGATCGAGGACGAATCAAACAACGCCACGCAAACGCGACCAGCCGAGTGTGGGCGGAGTCACCGGCCGTCACTATAGCAACCCCGCAGCGAAACTATTTAGTAATTAAATAAGGGGCGGGGTCCGCTACAGAACGCTACATTATACACGAGGCAGATCCAAGACGTGTTAAAGCTTTCTTTTTGTATTATTTATTTTTTGTTATATACATGCATAAATGATGCTTTGCCTGTAATATAACTTCTTTGTGCCTAATTTTGATATTTTTTGTACTTATATTTTTGATACCTTGGTATTAATACAAAAATAATGTACGTCCAAGACGACGCCAAATGCTTCACAGCACGCCCGACAAATGAGCTTATATTCACTGACAACATGATGCAAAATCTTTATTTGACCCTCTAACTCCAGCACTCTCTATTCTAATTCTATTTGATCTATTTGTTGACTTGACCCTCTAACACTTGCACTCTCGATCCGTTTTCTAACAGCTTGTTTTCTTTTTGTTTATATATATATATAAACCTTGCTACGTGTACTGCGTTAGACTGAGACTTGTCATAGCTCTTGCATCTGATTGCTTCTGTGGTCATCCTCTGCAAGTCGCTTGGGATAAAAGCATCTTAATGACTGAATTAATGACTGAATTAATGACTGAATGTGGAAAACAAGGCGAGGCGCAGCAGTGACGTCATACGAACGGGATTCTGACAGCAGCGGACGAACGAGCGATTATTTCTCCGTGACACCGACAGACTGCAGAGAAATAGTCATAAAGCATCGACATCATAATAGAAGGACCGATCACATTTTCGCAGATCATCAGAAGATGAAGCTCACCTCGCCTCTCTCGAGACGCTCCACGATACTCGCGAACTCCGACAAGTCCGAGTCAGACATCCTGATGAAGATGAAGATGAAGATGAGGATGGTCTGATTATCCTCGTACCGGCATCATCCGCTCGCAGAGATCTAGAGAATTCATTCAACTCGAGCACCGGAGACCCCGCCCACTCGCTGGCTCTGTGGGCGTGGCCTCGCTGACTGACAGCTCTTGGTGCAGATTCATCAGGTCACACACATGAACAGATAATGCTCAGTACAGCACATGTGCACAGCTCCTGAGAGCAGCAGCATCACACAATCAGCCCTGATGCAAACACATGCTTCGTGTAGACATGATCAAATACTGTACAAGTCTAAGAGCATGTAACCCAGCAAAGCAGGACAGCAGATGGCAGATTTACCTCATTAAACTTCACATATATGATTCATTGCATATGTGGGTCATTCAGGTTTTCTCTGAACATATATTTTATTCTGTGGTGTAAATCTCAGTACAAGCAGCTCTTGAAATCTGTCGAGTAAAACTCAGAATCGACACAAATATTCAGCCCCTTTGCCTTTTTATATGAATTATTCATCAGTTTTTCCTCCCGCAGCCAGATGTTTGACGCACCACATCCAGCAGTTTACAGCCATCTCTAACCGTTTGATGTTTTGAAGGTTTGACGTTAAATCCAAACCACCTTTGACCCATAATTCTGCATGATTGTTCTGTATATGTGAAGCAGTGTCTCTGGAATATCTCCCTTTATTCTATTCCAGGAGATCCAGACAAGCAAACTGTTTTTCAAAAGAATAAAGAAATAGTTTTATTCAGGCATTTCCATTCAGTGGCTACTTCTAAGAATATGTACTGTAGAATGAAATAATGTTCTTAAACATTACATTTCTGTGTACGTCAATATCTTCAATCTTACATTTTATTCTAGTGTCAAAAGAAACACAGTACAGACAAACAAGGACGTGTTTGAGTCAGCATGTGAGTGTGTGTGTGTGTGAGAGTGAGTGTGTGTGTGTGTGTGAGAGTGAGTGTGTGTGTGTGTGAGAGTGTGTGAGTGTGAGTGTGTGTGAGGAGGAGTGAGTGAGGAGTGTGTGTGTGTGTGTGTGAGAGTGAGTATGCGTGTGTGTGTGTGAGCGTGTGTGAGTGTGAGTATGCGTGTGTGTGTGTGAGCGTGTGTGAGAGTGAGTATGCGTGTGTGTGTGTGAGCGTGTGTGAGTGTGAGTATGCGTGTGTGTGTGTGAGCGTGTGTGAGTGCGTGTGAGCGTGTGTGTGTGAGTGAGTGTGTGTGTGTGTGAGAGTGTGTGTGCGTG